TTTAAAACATGAATTAAAGTATTTTTGGTTCTTTCTTGTGGTGCTTTATTGAAATAATGTAGTTTTAAAATAATTTCTCTTTTAATTTTTAGAAGATAAAATGAATAAACACTAAACTCTTTTCTTAATTTACCTTTATTCTTATTTCTTAATTTTAATTATCACCAATTTTTTTTTATCTTTATATTTTTTATTAAGGGCACTATAAAAAAAAATAAAATATCTCTAAATTTTAAATATATGGAAAAAAGGCAAAAAAGAAAAACAATACTACTAATTAATAGAGACGATAAGAGGAACAACCAAATCAAAACCTAGCTAATTTTTTCTTACATAACATCTTTATCACCATGTGGTAGATTAAACTTAAAAATATGGATCAATATAATATATATATATATTTTATTCCCTTCATTCAATTTTAGTAGACCTAGATATTCCTATTTGAGATATTCAAATTTAGTTATTCACTTTTCTTTTTAAGAATATCATTTAATACGTTTATTTCTATGTTACTCTCATTTTTAAAAGATAACTATAATATATATTAAATAAGAAGTCTTATTTAAGTGGTACTTAATTAAGGATAAATATGAAAATTTATCAATAAATTATTACATTTTTATTTTATTAGATAAAAAAAATCTAGATATATTAAAATTGAACAAAAGGAGTATTATTTTTATAATCAATATAGAGTTACATTCTTATTTGCTTTCAATGTTGTATTCGTTCATAATTTCTATGTTGTAAACCCCAAACTAAGTGCATATTTGATTTGAGGAAAATGAAGTGAAGGCAGAAACAAAATTTTTTTTCATTTGAATAAAGAAAAATTAGAGAAGAGGAAAAGCGGGAACGAGTGATCTCCTAAATTTGGATAAAAGAAAACAATTCTCTTCCAAATTAAATCACCTTTTGTTATCCCTAAAATGATGGGAATCAAGATGGCCCCACATGTACCATGTCAAGAGATCCATTACACATTTCAGGAGGTCCAGTCATGAGAGCTAGAGTTGTGAACATGCAAAAAGCTTTAAATGGCCTTATTGAGCAGATCTAGGTTGATAACAACATGCAATAAGTAAATCAAAGCTTAGATGATTATCAAGGCATGGTAAACATCATTAAGGTTCAACAGAAGCTTAATTGAGGTTATTCATTCTAAATTATACAGTTTGCGTCAAAATCTCGCAATTCTGTTACAATTTGTAAGAAATTGATATTTCATGTTGCTTTATGTTACTTTTAGTGATTTTCACATTTTTTATATTATTTTGGGCTGAACATTCATTTATTTGAGGCCCAATTTGTGGTTATTAAGATTAGAGCTTAGGGTGTTATTTTCCTATTCTGATTAGAATTACTTTTCCCTATTTAAAGGGCTTGTAACCCTAATTGGGAGAGCTATTGAATTTGAGTTTTTGAGAGACTTTTCTCTTTGGTTCATTTTAGAACTTTACAGAACTTATCAAGTTTATTCTTGTGGTGTTCTAACCTAACTTATCATTCTCGTTCTTAATCATTCAAAGGTGTGGCGTCAACCAACTTTATACCTTTGGTTCTTGTTGCGTCATAAACAACGGGTTAAGGTTTTTACCTTTAGTTCTTGTTGTGACATAAACAACAGGTCAAGGTCCTATTATAAACCTGATTTGGCTTTCTTGGAGTTTAGAAATCCCTTGTCATGTTGTGGGTCTCATTGTTTTCTTTGGGGTTCTCATCATAAAATCCTATTAGCAACATCTTTTGGTGGAAATGAGATTGATGGCATGCAAAAGAATTTGCTAACAACCCTCTTATGTGACTCAATTTTCCTTGAGAACAAAGCCACTGGAAGAACATCATTTAAAAATCAATGCGCCCCATATTAAACAATATATAGCAAAAATGAGGGATTAGTTCTTGCAGTAAACTCAAAATTGCCTTGAAAGCTCATCAAGAACTTGGTTATGGTAAACATGTATAAAATTAATTAATTAGTTAATTAATTAAGCATTAAACTATAAGTGATTGTGATGATAATAAATCCCTCTATGATATTTAATAAATCTGAGATTAAGTGTGCATTGAATAATTGTAAGATGGTTCAAAGAAAAATTTAGAAAAATTGTAGAACTGGGTTAAAGAGTCAGATATAGGGCTTTACATTCGACTCTTGAAGTAACAAGATTTGATTCTTGCATTTGAAATTCAACTCTGGAGCAAAATATGAAGAAAAGGTTCAACCCAGTGAAGAGTCAATTCTTTAAATGAAGATTTGACTCTTGCACCTGCTAGATTCGACTCTAAAATGGTAAGATTTGACTCTCGATTCTAGAGAGTTCAAGGAGGACTTTGAGGTGTAAGGTAAGACCGATTCTCCATTTGTAGATTTGACTCTTGGGGGCTAAGGATTTGACTCTCACTTCCAAGATTCAACTCTTGGCTTAGAAAAGTAAAAATTGCCTAAGTCCCAAAATTTCTTGAAGAACCAACTCTCAATTTGAAAAGTTAAACCTAGTTTTTATAGATTCAACTCTTGACTATATGGTAACGGTTAGTTTTTCCAATCCAACCAATTTGTAGAATGTTTAATGCAATTCAACGGTTTCAAATGACTATTTTCAACTTGAGGAAGATAAATAGGGTTGGTGGACACACTTAAGAGCTTTTTAGACACTTTATTGAAGAATTCCAATAACCCACTTCAGCTAACCCTTGCAAACACTCAATTTCTTGTACTTTCACTTGTTTATTTGATTATTGAGTGATCTTTTCTTATAATCATCTTCTTATATTCTATGAGTGACATCTTGGGGGTGTGACTTATTCCTTTAAGAGTAATTGTGTGTGAGGTTTGTTGGGTTAGAGTGAGGTTATGAGATATCCCTCTATTGTAAAAGGGTTGGGTAGCTCTTTTAAGCTACTTTTGAGCACTAGTGAAGAGAATAGAGGAAATCTTTGGTGAGTAAAACCAAGGTAAAAGATTAGATGCCAAGTAGTTGGACTAAATCTTTATATAATTTTAATGCAAGCTTTTTCTTCTTTTCTTTCTATAATTTTCAATTTGTGGTTGTAAAAGGAAGAAAATTTTTAAATTCCAGTTCACCTCCTTTTAGAGTGTATTAAGCCAACATTAAAAATTATGTATCTATAAATATTAAGAAAACCATCACACTGAAAAATAAGATGCTTAAAACTGACTTAGAAAGAAATAAATAAATTTGGTAGAAATTAGAAAATGTAGCAAATTATAACCTCTGACATAAATGTAAATCACGACAGAAAATAAAGAACTTAAATTAAATAACTTCTAACAAAAATGTAAAGCGCTAGAAATGTAAACTTGGCAAAAACGAGTAAATCAGGCAGAAACTAGAAAGTGCAGCAGAAATGCAAATTGCACTTTTTCTTGATAGGAATGTAAAGAGAAATGATTTTGGGACAATTTTTTTGTACCATCTTTTGAAATAATTTTTTGTACCACATTTTGGGATAATGATGTAAATTAACATTTTTGTACCACTTTTTAGTATAATATGATGTGTCAATTAAATTATTAATTTTTTAAAATTATACGAGATCTGTAATATTAAATGTATTCACTTATTTTATGACATGTGAGAGTTGTATAAAAATATGATATAAAAAAGTTATCCCTATAGCACTACCCGAATGTAAAGTGAAAGTTTTAAAAACTAAATGTGACAAAAACATAAATTGAAATCATAAAACAAACTTAAATCAAGAATTTAATTAAATTTATTGAACTAACATTGATAAATGATACCTTGAATTGATGAGAAAATATTGACAGAAATCTAGCGGAAGTAAACAACTCTTCCACTCACGCAAATTCCATTCCTAGCCCAACTCATTATGTTAAAGTCCAAAATGCATTTGGACTCCAACTCTGGCAAGCCCCAAAATCCATTAGATCGTATCACCTCTGCCACGTGGCAGCAATATAACCAAAAAAATTTCCTTCCTACCGTGAGCGACACTTATGATCATTTAATCATTTAATTCCCAATTATTTAGAATAAATCATGGCCATTTGACTTTTATTATAAACACCTGGATCATCTTTAAAATATGCAAACATCTTTAGGTACCTGAGTTTCTCATATAATATTTAATATTTAATATAATTATAAAATTATTTATTAAAATCAAATTTTATTTAATTTTATTATATTAAAATTTATAACATTTTATTTAAATTTAACATGTTATTTATTTAAAAATTTTATAAAATATTAAAAATTCATTCCCTCCTTATGAATTGTTCTCCCACGGAACTCAAAAAAAAAAAAACTTATCATAAGGAACTTTAAAAACCTAAATTATCAAAATGTAATAAATATTATTTATTTTAGTAATTATACATCATATAATATTTTTAAAATTTTAATTAATAATTAATAAAATTTATTATTTTTCATTCACAATAATTTTAAAAAATAAATAACCAAATACTAAAATAATTTTTAATCACAAATACAATATAACACAGTTTAACACAATCACAAGTGCAATTACAATTAAAGCACCTTATAGCAATATCAAATACACCCTTTATTTCATCCACTTAATCACACATAATATAGTACAATTTCTTCATTTGTTCTTGCTTTAATCATCCCCAATAATTTAAGTGCTTGATTTTTTTTTACTTGGTACGCATGTCGGATGATAGAGTGTTTTTTTTTTTTTTTTTTTTTTTTGGTTTCATCAGAATTTAAATAATAGAGGTTTAAACCCTAATTTTAATTTTAAATTAAAATTTTTTAATTAATAAATATCAATTCAATTAAATTTTTATCGGTAATAATAAGGTATACGATTGGTATAACTTCTTCTGAACTCTTCCTAGCATTTGATCTAGAGATTTTCCAAAATGAAAATTCAAGATTTTAATCACTGGGGTTTCTTACGGACAATTTGAGTGCTTGATGCTCTTGAATCAATTGAACTTCGAGCAAACTTTCCTTATCTCGCCCTGTGTACCAGTTTTCACCTCAATGCTGCTCCATTTTATCATAGCTTTCCCGAACTCAAAATCAAACCTAAATCCCAGCAACCCTCTTTTGTTCCCAGCATAATTCTGCACCATACTTCGAGTGGCAGCGTCTCCCACAGCCTCCGGTCCGATTCAAAAACTCCATTTCCGTCGCGCACGTTTTTGAAGAAGCTAGCATCGAATTTGATCGGACTGTCTTTGTCTAATGCAACCCTCTTTGATCCGTCAGTCTTTCGAGCAGAGAGCCTGGAGTTGTACTAAGAATGACTGGTGATGGGAATCAAGACGACAGCATATCTACCACGTCATGTGATCCATTACACACCCAAGGAGGTCCAGTCACGCGAACTAGAGTTAAAAAGATGCGTGAAGGTTTAAATGGCCTTATTGAGCAGATTTGGGTTGAAAACAACATACAACAAGCAAATCGAAACTTGGATGATTATCAAAGCATGATAAACATCATTCAGGTTCAAGAGAAGCTTAATTGAGGTCATTTGTGCTAAATTACACAGTTTGCATCAATCTCGCAATTCTGTCGCAATTTGTAACAAACTGATATTTCATGTTACTTTAGGCTACTTTTAGTGATTTTTACGTTTTTTATATTATTTTTGGGCTGAACATTCATTTATTTAAGGCCCAATTCGTGGTTATTATGATTAGGGCTTAGGGTGTTAGTTTCATATTCTGATTAGAATTACTTTTCCCTATTTAAAGAGGCTTGTAACCCTAATTGAGGAGGCTATTGAATCTGAGATTTTGAGAGACTTTTCTCTTTGGTTCGTTTCAGAACTTTATAAGACTTATCAAGATTATTCTTGTGGCGTTCTAACCTGACTTATCATTCTCGTTCTTAATCGCTCGAGGGTGTGGCGTCAACCAACTTTATACCTTTGGTTCTTGTTGCGTCATAGACAACGGGTCAAGGTTTTTACCTTTGGTTCTTGTTGCGTCATAGACAACGGGTCAAGGTTTTTACCTTTGGTTCTTGTTGCGACATAAACAATGGGTCAAGGTCCTATTATAAACCTGATTTAGCTTTCCTAGAGTTTAAAAATTCCTTGTTGTGCTGTGGGTCTCATTGTTCTCTTTGGGGTTCTCATCATCTTGGTATCAGAGCATCAGATCTCTAAATCAGGTTTGCGTATCTTTAGTTTTCAGTTTTTACATCAAAAAAAAAAAATCAGAGGAGAG